TTATAGTTGCTTTCTAATGAATTATAATAATTATAATGGATTATCTGATATCTGATTATAAACACGTTTTAAGAAATTTTGGCTTCTTTTTCCCTACTCTCCACACTCCAGCCTTCTCAAAGCTGTTGAAACCACTCACTTACAAAGAATTTAAACTGGCCCTGGCCGGTTTGGCTCAGCAGTTAGAGCATTGACCTGTGGACCAAAGAGTCCCGGGTTTGATTCCAGCCAAGGGCACGCACCTCAGTTGCAGTTCGTCCCCAGCACCGATTGGGATAATGCGGGTGGCAACCAATCGATGTGTCTCTCTTACATCAGTGTCTCTCCCCTCCCCCCCTTCTTCCCACTTTGTCTGAAGATAAAATGTAAGGTGTCCTCTGGTGAGGATTAAAAATAAAAAATAAATAAATAAACTCCAAATTCCAGAACTTGAGAATAGCCTTGAAAACTGGAAAACCCATTTAACCATTAAAACTTATAGGAGTTCACCACTGTGCTCAAGATAAAGGGACAAATCCTTATCTTTGGTCTATAGGTAATCAACTTAGTCATATCAAAAACATTATTTATGGAGCCATAATGACCACATTCCCCAAGTCTTAATAATAGTAATTTTTTCTGATTATAAAAGTAGGATGTACTCGCATATATTACTCCTGGTAATGCAAAATTTTACAGCCACTTGGAAAACAGTTGGCAGTTTTTTATAAAGTTAAACATACATTTTTCAATTTAACTCAACAGTCCCACGTCTAGATATTTACTTGAGAGAAGTGAAAACACAAAGACCTGTACATGATTGTTTATAGAAACTTTATTTATGATTGCCAAAGAAGTGGAAACAACCCAAATGTCTACCAACTGGTGAATGGATTAACACATTAAAGTAAATTCACACAATGAAATATAATATTCAGCAATATATATGGACTCCTGATACAGACCACAACATGGATGAATCTCAAAAGCTTTGTACTAAATGAAAGAAGGCAGACACAAAAGGCTACAAACTGTGTAATTCCACTACATAAGATTCTGGAAAACAAAAGGCAGAAAGGTCAGAAATCAGATCAGTGGTACCAGAGCCTGGGGTATGAGGAGATTGCCCAGAAAAGGGCATGAAGTAACCTTCGGGGCTGGAAATGTTCTGAAAGTTCATTGCAGTGAAGGTCACATGACTAGGTCAACACTCATTAAATTATATACCCCAAATGGGTGAATTTACTTCATGTAAACTATACCAACAAACCTTAGTTTAAAAAAAAAAGAAGGACATGCTCAATGTAAAAACTGGAAATGTAGAAAGTCATAATTTTTAAAATTTATCTTTAATATAAAATATAAAATTTATCTTTAATCTCACCCGATTATTGTGTATTATTTTTCATATTTTATATTAATTATATTTTAAGTTTATTTTGATACATCTTTCTGAATATTTTTCCATGTATATACTATAAGCTCATGTGACTGCTTCTTTTAAAACAACATAATAATTCTTCCATATCGTTCTTCTTTCTTTTTTTATCTCATTGTTTTTTGGCATCAATTTTTTTTTAAATTTATCTTTGTTGTTGAAATTATTACAGATGTCACCCCCCCCCCCCGCATTGACCCCTCCACCCCACTGCTGACTCATCCCCTCAGACATTCACCACATAACTGTCTGTGTCCATGCGTATGCATAGGCATCGCTTTGAATGATAGCCTTATCATTCCTTACTATTTGATTTTTAGATAGATGTGAGATTTTGCTCTTAAACAATATTGATGAACATCTTTTTTTCTTCTTTTTTCTTTATTCTTCTCTCACTTATAAATATGTCTCCATGCCAAGAATCTACTTCGATACCAATGGGGGAAAAATCATTAAACAGTGATACTTGACACCTAATTCCAGAATTCATCCTTATAGTAAAAAACCTCAAATTTGTTTGTTTCATGTGTTTTTATTCGGTATAGTTGTATTTTCTGATGCTTTATATTCATTCCCATTTGTTTTACATAAAATTTTTGTCTGGCTAATATGAAAATTAAAGGGTAAAAATTAACATTTTCTTTATGCAGTTAATCTTTTGTTGAATGCAAATTTTTTCCTTTTTCCCTATCAAACTCTTTTGATCTGTTACTTTCTAGATATGTTAGATCAATTGTGACTTCTGTGTATGTTCAATTAAATATTTTTTATAGTACAACAACCCAAAATACCTCAAAGCCCACCATGCAAATGCTTACCTTGCTTCCAGTCTCGAATTGTCTTTTATTCTACCTTAGAACACCTTCTAATGTATACATGTATGCATCTACCCACCCCTCTGCTTTCTGTCTTCAAAGAAGCCACACATTTTTATTCCAGATTTGTTGAGCCATCATTGTGAATGATGTTGCAGCTGACAGAGTTATTTCTTATGCAGTACCTTCACTCTCAGCAAGACTTACCCTTGACTTGCTTGTGGTGTTGATGGTTTGTGTATCAATATTCACTTTCACTTATGTATGACCCAGTTGCCCAGCAACATGTGAGCGAGACACTTTGAAGGAGCTGAGAAACAGGCTGTGGTCACAGGCAAAGGTTATTCCAAATGCCCTTGTGGCTCCTAGACAGCTATTTGGTGCACATCTTGCTACTGCACTTTTACAGAAACATCTGTTGTATCCACAGTATCTAGCTCCTGAGGTCATTGCTGTTAACCCTGTAACAGGAGGTTGGGTGTGTGCATTTCAAGAGAGGGAAATTATGTAGGAAAGACAGAAAGAGAGCAGCTAAACACCTTTCACCAGACTCACAGAAGAGAAAACAGAGGCTAGAGCAAAGGTGGGGCAAAGGGCTTTAAGGGGACCTCAGGAAGAGAGAGTGAACAAGTGAGAACAGTCGTGGTAGATGTCTCTGTCAGTAACTAAATGAATTCTCATTACATCCATAAGAGCAGATGATATGCTATCAAGGGTATTGTGAGAGCCTAATACAAGTTGCCAAACACTTCAGCTAGCTGATGCATCTGAAAGAAAAGATATAATTGATTTAGGCAGTGTGAGTGATGCTTTTCAGTACAGGAGCCTAGTTTTTATTTTGACTTTTAATAACTTTGATTCTGAAAATTTATAAAATACATAGAATAGAGAAGGAAACTTGAATTGTCTATAACCCCACTCAAAGATAACTATTACTAATATTTTCAAATATTTATTTTATATATATGTTTTACAAATTCCAAATCATTAGGTATGTTTGTAGTTTTGAATCTTCTCTTTTCATATAACATTCTATAATGAGATATTCTTTATGTTGCTAATTTTATAAAAAATATTATCTCAGTGGCAACATGGTATTTCTATGCATATGGCAGCATTTATTAAATAATTTACCTACTGTTGGACACTTTAGTTGTTATTTTCAATAATATAAACAATACTGTTCTGTGTATCCATGTAGCATACATCTTTATGTGATTAGCTAGTTATTTCCTTACTAAATTCCAGAATAAAAAGCTGGGGCTGTTTCTACATATTGCTCTGTTAGCCTATAGAAAGGTGATATTGCCCAGCCGGTGTGGCTCAGTGGTTGAGTGTCGACCCAAGAGGTCGCCAGTTAGACTCCCAGTCAGGGCACATGCCCGGGTTGTGGGCCCAATCCCCAGTGGGGGGCATGCAGGAGGCAGCCAATCGATGTTCTCTCTCATAATATTTCTGTCTCTCACTCTCCTTTCCTCTCTCTCTAAAATCAATAAAGAAAAAAAAAGAAAGGTGATCTTATGTTATACTGCACTAATAGTGAATATGAGTGCCTGTCCATTTCAACACACTTTAGCCAATATCCCCTATTACTTTTTAAAAAGGGGGAGGGGGATATGCTTGCTTTGCTTTACACAAGAGAAATATTTTAGTAGAACAGAAACTAAAAATTCAAGCTACAATTTTAGTTCTAAAAATTGTACAAGTCTAGAGACCATCATAAGCCCTTAAACTATTAGCTGTAGTGCTTTTATGTTACTCAGAATTGTATATAAATTGAGTTAGTTTGAACAGCGTCTACAATGTTAAACCTTCCCTTCACAAAAAGAGATTGTGATAAAATATTGAAAAAGCTTACTTTACTTTAAAAATTAAGCCTCTATTTGTCATATTTTAAACTTCTAACAATGTTTCCCACTTTTATAGGAGGTGTGTGTAGTTTTGTGGAATAATTTTAAAATAGCTCTTCATGACATGCTCGCACTTGATTAATTTTTAATTTCTTCTTTTCCTCAATACTTAAGCTTACATCTGTATTTCAGTGAGAACAAAAGTTCTATTTTCAAATGATTGACTACTTTAATCATTTTAATTCACATTACTAATAGCATTGCAGAGTTAAACAAAAGCCTTGGTTGAAACTATGTTAAATTACACTATGTCACCTTCATTAGTATCTGAATTTCATAGTTAGAAAACGTGCAGCAAGATGATTTCATAAGTCAGGTAAACCCACACATTGTGGGACTGGCATGGACCTTATAAATCAGCGAATCCAATCCTTTCGTTTGCTGGTTGAAGAAATGGGAGCTGAGATTGGTGCAGGCACATTTCTGGGTCACTAAGCTGGACAGTGACCCTTCCCTTAACCCTGGGGATTTTGCTCTATATCTGGCTCCTTCTCAGGCCACACTCTGAAACATTTAATGCTATATTCTCAATTTGTAGTCTTTGTCTCTCCTAAGAAATATGTATAAGAATAAAGTTCCTACTGGTTCTATGATTATCCTTTCTGACTTCATCTTTGTTCAATTTATGGTATGAACTGACAAATTGATAAGCTGCACAAATCAGTTGCCTTTCAAGAACCTAGAGTAAGCTCCGTCATTTTGTAATACAGAAGCTGTGTGTTGTCTCAGATTTCAAATGAACTAAACTTTGCCTTTAGCTGGTTGTTCTCAAGAATAAATACCTGTGGAAGAAATATGACTACACAGAACCTCAACATTACTCATGTAAAGTGTCCGTTTGTTTGTTTTTCTTACCAGATATCTGTATGCCCTTGGACAGAAGGTTTGGAAAAGATGGAAAAAACGTTACTTTGTCCTTGTTCAGGTTAGTACATTTTTTCCTGTTACTTAATCACTCTAAAATGGTAGTTCCCAACCTTTTCTTTTTGTGGGTTATATCTACCAATATTCACTGTATTAGAAATTAAAATTGAAAAATTTTTAAATATTTCATTTTGAAATAAAAGTAGTAAGTTTATTACATACTAACACAAATTACATTTTTATATGCAACAACTATTTCCAAACCAAACTATTTAGTGAAATGAATGGCATTCTTTTATGCTTTTGGACATCTCCTTAGTGTCTGGTTTAATAGAGTGCAGCTGTAATTTCAGATTGGCTCCTACATTTAGTCTGTTGCAATATCAGATCAAATTTAGCCTGTAGAAAACTCCACTGTACACCGATGAAAGAATAACTGCGAAAAAAGCAAATGCTGTCTTAATATTATAAACATAGTTTTGACCTCACAGATTCCTTGAAAAGAACTTGAAGATATTCAGGATTTCAAAATGATACCTTGAGTACCAGTGCATCATTCTGATATTTTAAAGATAAACATAATACATAAAAGCACTCATTTTTATACAAATATGCTATATATATCACTTTTTTACACAATTATATCTTTAAATCACCTTGGCTGGTAGATTTACATTAAAGAATTGCTTTCTAAGTGATAGTCATTTTATGCTATGATAAACCTAAACTGTTTTATTCCCAATGGGAATATATGAAGACTCATGGAATTCTTAACAGAAAACAGCCTCTAAAATCTTATTGATTCCTACCCACATGTTAAACAAGCTTAAATGATCTAAATCAGAATGATATGGTGAAATTCCAAGGAAAGAAAATTGCCATTTGTTATTTTCTAGAAATATGGCCATCTATAGATTGCTGAATAAATTATGTTGTTCCATATGGCATGGAAATTTCATGAAAAGTATAAAAATTTAGTCAAAAGTAGTTTTATCTACATGGCAAACAGCCAGTCTATCTTTTTTTCATGACTAAAATGTAACCTTATGTAATTAGAACCACCAGTATTTGATCAACTAATTTAATAAAATATATACACCTGTGTGCATACACATTGACAGTCTTTGATATGAAGTCTAAGCGTTTGCTTTGAGCAAGGGCCCCCTGTTTGAAGTTCTTAGTGATCTGTCCTCCAAAAATCACACCTGTAAGCCATCTTCTTTGGTTTACTGGCTTAATTTCTTTACATTTGGCACAAGAATGGAAATGCTTTTACCAAGCAGTTTGAGTGTAGATCTTTCTGGACATTTTTATTTTATTCCCATCTATAGGTGTTTTGCTTACATCTAATTTGACAAATTTGTGTTAGTGACTTGTCTTTATCAAGTCTTTTTAAAACATTCAACTGATTTTTCATAGAAACAGTAGCTTCTTTTTCATAGTCATATTTTATGCATTTGTATAGGAACTTTATTCCATAATTTTAATACCTTATGTTATTGGCATAAACAAACCCAGCTGACTCTTAATAAGCATAGAACTTTACAAGCAATTCATTATTTTTTTCCTTTTTTATATAAGGCTTAATTTTAAAATAATTTTTTTTTCATTCATTAATTTTAGAGAGGAAGGGAAAGGGAGAGAGAGCTAGAAACATTGATAAGAGAGAACATCGATTGTCCGCCTCCTGCATGTTCCCCACTGGGGATTGGGCCCACAACCTGGGCATGTGCCCTGACCAGGAATCAAACCAGTGACCTCTTGGTGTATGGGTCAACACTCAATCACTGAGCCATACCAGCCAGGTTATGAGGCTTAATTTTTAAGAGCAGCTTCAGGTTCAAAATTGAGAGAAAGGTACAGAGATTTCCCATATATCTTCTGCCCCCACACGTGCATAGTCTCCCCTACTATCATCATCACTTGATACATTTGTTACCAAGGATGGACTGGCATTGACACATCATAGTTATCCTAAGTCCATAGTTTACATTATGGTTTACTCTTGATGTTATACATTATATCTATTTGTATAATGGCATGTATCCATCATTACAAGATATCATATAGAGTATTTTAACTGCCCTAAAAATCGTCTGCGTTCTACCTATTCATTCCTTCCCTTCCCGGGACAACCTCTGGTCTTTTTATTTTTTATTTTTATTGTCTTCATAGTTTGCTTTTTCCAGAATGTCAATTTGTGGGATCATACAGTGTGTAGCCTGTTCATATTAGGTTCTTTCCCTTAGTAATATTCATTTAAGTTTTTTTCATAGCTTGAAAGCTCATTTTTTAAAAAGCATTGAATAATATTCCATTGTCTGGATGAATCACAATTTATTTATTGATTCATCCACTGACAGACATCTTAGTTGTTTCCAAGTTTTGGCAATTATGAATAAAGTTGCTTTAAACATCTATGTGTGGGTTTTTGTGTGGATATAAGCTTTCAACTCCTTTAGGTAAATACCCAGGAGCTCCATTGCTGCATCATATTTACTATATTGTAAGAATGAATTGGGGAGTATTTAATGGAGACTGGTTAAGTGACAGTAGGCTAAAAGAGTTTCTAATATACTGATTGTTTTAATACAAAAATTAGGCTTTATTAGACCAGACCATGTTATGCTTTTGGCCAGGTAAGGTTTAAGATAATCATTTGCTGCTTCTTATTTTCTAGCATATGATCCTAAGAATGAAAAGTTATGGGACAAACCACTATACTTTGATGATCACCCCATAAGAGAGTTTAGAAATAAAAGAACAAATTAGAATACTTTGAGATCATTAATTGGTATGTCTTTGAGGAACATGAACAATGTCTTTGAGGAGCTAGAAAGTGTTCTTAGTAACAAAAATATGTTTAACATTTTAAAAGGTAAAATTTGATTCAAACCAAACTATATAAACCCTAATACTCTATAATTAAAATTTAGAGAAAAAAAAACTAATTAATTCAGATTTATTCTACCTGAGGTATTCTCTTAAAATTTGAAATCATATTTCAGCATTACTAATTAATTCAGATTTATTCTACCTGAGGTATTCTCTTAAAATTTGAAATCATATTTCAGCATTATATCTTTACACAAATATATGTACATACATGTACTAGCACAGAGAATCCCATGCCCAAATGTATGGTGATATAAATGCCAGTACTCTGTGGCATCTTTTTTAAATTTTAAATAGAGTTGAATCTTTCTTTCAATTCCAAAAGTATTGGGAAGACAAAATGAATGCACACATTTCAAAATCAAGATGGATATGTATGAACATTCAATGAGAGTAACCCATTGGGAGGAACCAGGTAGCTTTCATTAGTATTTTTAAAGACAGCTCTCATTCTGTCGGCACACAGCTTGTAGGTTCATACCTGTGGGCTGCGTTATTGAAAGGTGAAGGAGTCGTTTTTTTCTAGGGAGGACTGTATACCCCTGCTGTGTCTGCTGCTGCCATCGGCAGAATGGTGCTCTGGTGATAATGTGAATCTCATCACCACTTGTGAGTGTGTATTATATGAGTGATATAGCTGGAGATCAGCCATCAACCAAAGAATGTGTATCATAAAAATTGATTGAGAGTCAGGTTTAGCCAGCTGCAAAACCATTGTTCAAAGTGAACACTCGAGGAGCTGCAGAAGTAAAAAGACTTTTCAAACATTCTCACGTAAACATTTAAATCTGGTTTAAAATTGGAAAATAAATTACTTATTAATGTGGGATGTTTATTTAGCTTCTAAGTAAGATTAGTTTTGGTCTCCATTTAGATTATGAAGCCAGTATAGTTAACAGTATTAAATAGATTTTTATGTTTTCTAAGAGGCTGCATTTTTTAAAAATTAAGATAAATTAGGGTTCATGCCAAATTGAAAGAATACTGTCTTGGAAGAATATGTTTGAAATCTTACCAAAATTAAACATATATGTTTCTTATTTACTTTTTGTGCTTTTTCAGTGTTTTAGTATTAGATTTGGAGGATATAATTGGTATGAAGTACTTATGACACTAATATATTTCATAGTTAATTTTAAAACAGTCATTTAATAGCTTTAAAATCTCTCTTGCATTTATGATTCAACCAAATGGAATTATTTCATATTTCTGTATTCTAATAATGTCTGGTCACATAACTGTATGCCCTAGGTATTGCATGTTCTGTGTAAATCTAAAAATTCCTGAAGTACTCATCTATTAATAGAGTAATTGCTATATTTAATGTAATATTTATTAAGCAATCGTGGCAGGCATTTATGTAAAGTACTCTTAACACATTATCTTATTTACTCCTCAGAACAGGTATGTTTGAGGGTAGGTATTCTCATCCTTATTGTACAGATCAAATTGATATACTAAAAGGTTATATAATTTACCCAAAAGTATACACAGCCCTGGCCGGTTTGGCTCAGCGGTTAGAGCATCGGCCTGCGGTCCTGAGAGACCCGGGTTCGGTTCCTGCTAAGGGCATGTACCTCGGTTGCAGTTTGTCCCCAGCCCTTGTTGGTTGTGCGGGTGGCAGCCACTCGATGTGTTCCTTTCACATCGATGTTTCTCTCTCTGTTCCTCTCTCTCCCTCCCACTCTACCTGAACAAAAAATGGAAAAATGTCCTCTGGTGAGGATAAAAAAAAAAAAAAAAAAAAAAAAGTATACACAAAGTTAGAATATGCTAAAGGGATCAACCCAGCTCTGTCAGACCCTAAAGGTTGAAATCTCATTCCTCTGTCCCGATGCCAGGATTGAATCGATGCACAACTGGAGCTGATCTGAAGACAGACATATGCGTAATTGTTAGTTTCATATGGTACAAACAGCATTACTACATTAAAGAAATGGCCGGATGCCCTGGCAGGTTTGGCTCAGCGGTTGGAGCGTCAGCCTGCGGTACAGAGAGACCCGGGTTCGGTTCCTGCTAAGGGCATGTACCTCGGTTGCAGTTTGTCCCCGGCCCTGGTTGGTCGTGCGGGTGGCAGCCACTCGATGTGTCCCTTTCACGTCGATGTTTCCCTCTCTCTCTCTTCCTCTCTCTCCCTCCCACTCTGTCTGTACAAAAAAATGGAAA